CAGGCGCCAACGGTGAGCCCCAGGAGCAGCCCAACGGCCAGTGCTCGCTGGCCAGTGCCCCATCCTCAGAGAATGAACGCCGCTGTGACGCGCTACAGAGCACGTGAATGCGCGCCACAGACAGCGAGTGCCGGCGTGACCGTCACAGCTGATGCCGAGCGCTGCGCCGACACATCACGGAATGGCAGGCCCCGGGCTCAGCTCCTGCTTGTGGGGCACAGGCTGGGCCCCACCGTCCCACAGACAGACGCGGTGGCGTGGGCTCCCAGGCCTGTCCACCCTCCTCTGCACAGAGCCTGCCACCATCCTTGTCACACAGGGCCCGGTGCTGCAGAGAGGCGGCGTGGCTTGCTCCGGCTGCGGCTCCAGAGAGTGGTCCGGGACGCCGTGGTCATCCAGCCCCAGGGCTGCTCCTGGCCCTCCTGGGACGGCTTCTCCCGGCAGAGGATGAATCACCTTTGGGATGGCGGCTCCAGGTCAGAAAGCTGCCAGGTCACCCAGGTGCCGCACAGGCCGCTCCCCAAGGACGGTTTTGGGCCTGGGCTTATCCCGGCGGCTGTCTTCCGTCTGCCCCGCCAGCCCAGCCTTCGTCTTCCCCGCACGCCCCTCCCCGTCCTCGGCGCTGGGCTTATCCTGGTTTCCTTTTCTGCTGTCTGGAATTGAGTGCTTAGTTCATCTAGTTTTATTCTCTCTTGCTTATAATAAAAACAATTTAGACGATAAGTTTTCCTCCCAGTAAGTAAGTGTGTTTCTGGTCACCTTCTGGAAGCCGCCCACGCTGTCTACCACGAGGGCGTCAGCTCCTCTCTGACCCACAGCAGCTCCGGAGGGCACCCGGGAGTCTCCAGCCCTCCCGCGTGCCTGGTGGTGTCTGACAGGTGCACCTCACAGCTACTTCCCGGGGCCGACCTCAGCTTTGAGCCTGCCCGCCCGCCAGGGGTGAAATCCACCAACAGGGTTATGTGAAACAGAGGCAAGGAGGCCCCAGCGGGCCCCAGCTAGGATGGGAGGGGCCTGTCCAGTGGGGAATTAGGGGGGAGCAACCCTGTCAAGGGCCCACCAGCCCAGAGAGCTCAGGGACTGGGCTCGCTCTGGAGTGTCAGGAGCAGGACAGTGAGCCAAGCATCAGGACACCCGAGGGCCAGACCAGAGCTGGGACCCCCGGGAGCAGCAGGGAGCAGTGGGCAGCAGCTGCCTGGAAGAATCCCAGGACCCCCACCCAGGGGGAAGTGCAGGGTGGGGACAAGGACAGACAGGTCACCTGGTCGGTCCTGAGAAGCCAAGCAAAAGCCCTGCAGTCAGATGGGGCTCCCGCAGGCCCCCACCTCTGAGCCCCCAGCAGTGTCTGCAGCCTCAGCGAGCGGAGAAGCTTGGGGTCCTGGCCTCCATGTGGCACCAGGTCGGGAAGCAGGAGGGCGTGCCTCCAGGGTTGGGCGTGTCTGTGACATGGGGCCCCTGCCCAGGCCTAGCCAGCCCCGGAGGATTTACAAGCTGCTTTCCTGACCCTGCCCTTGGCCTGGGCAACAGGGGACAGACACCTTCCCCAGGAGGGTCAGGCGCTTCCTGCCAGCTTCCCGGTTGCCTCCACACTCAGTAGCTGTAAGCGAAGGCACCAGCCTTGTGGGACCCACAGCTTCATCTGGGGGACTGGGATGCAGGCATGATGGCTGGGGCTCTGGCAGCTGCTTTGGCATGAGAAGGAGGGAAGGGTGGTGGCACCTGGACTCTTGATGGCATCACAGAGGCTGAGACTGCCTGTGTCCAGACTCCCCAGTTCGAGACAGAACGGCCCACCACGCTTCAAACACCAGCTGCCAGGATATGGGTCTTCTCTTGTAAGTAGCCTGCCATGACACGAGGCGGCCAGTAGGCCCTGCTCATTCCCGGGCCCTGGTGGCCAGTCCCCACCTGCTGTGCCTGGGCCTGAGTTCTGTCTGCCCCTGGGCCCCACCTGGCAGAGTGCATCCTAAAGCAGCAGAACCGGGAGGGGAGAGCCTGGTCCCTAAGCACCTCCCGGCTGGAAGCCGCCTGCTGCCCGCCCGGCCTCACCTCCACCTTCCCCAGTCCCCGTGTGGCCCAGGGCTGACTGTCCACTACTCAAAACTCTCCTGCCTTCCACAGGCCCCCTTTTCCTCCCCGGGAGACCTCAGGGCCCACCTAAGGGGTCAGGGGACAGGACTTCCTGCGGCTGTTCTATGCCCCCAGCGGCTGAGTTCCGAGGGGGTGGCTAGGGCTGGGCTCACGGCTGTCGCACAAACAAGACAGACCTCGTGGGCCCTGCCAGGGACAGGCTTCAGGCAGCAGTAGCCAGGCCCCGTGTGGGCAGGGGCAGTGTCACCAGGGGTTGGGGGGTGTGGGGGAAAGGCCAGGTCCAGTCAAACCCGAGACCACCCAGGAGCCATGCAGAGTCCTGAGGCCAGAGGCAGGAGGCCACACCCATCCCTCAGGAGCCGCACAGACACCGCCTGCTGCGATCTCCAATTAAACCTCAGCGTTAATTAGAGTCTTCCCGGCCCAGGGGAGGGGGCCGAGGTGGAGTAATCACAGCTGGGCCAGGAAACCCAGAGCCACGGCGGGGACAGAGGGAGCCTCACTGCCCACTGGGGAGGCCAGGGCTCCGCCACCCGAGAGGGGTGCCCCAGCCACACCAGCTCTGGGCCTGAGCACACAGGTCACACTCGGCTCAGCGGGGTGGACGCTGAACTTGAGTGTCGAGGGAGAGCCGGAAGCTCATCGCCCATCACCTGGCCGGCTATGGAGGGAGGCTCTCCCCTCTCAGGCCTGTTTCCCCACTCAGGGCTCCAGGGCCTTCTCTCCCTCGTGGCTCAGCCCACAGGGAGATGAGGCCTCTGCTCCATGGCCTTGCAGGGACTCTCACCCTGCCTCTGTGGCACCAGGAAGGATTTGGAATTGGAAATACATGTCTGGCTTTCTGAGTAATACCCTACCAAAAATTTTAAAGAGAAAATTTCTTCATCTTAAGGAAGACAAACACAAGCCAGGAGGGCCTGTAATTATCATCCTGACCTACATTATTCTAACATCTTTGGAAAAAACATTTTAATTGGGTCTTTGACTTTAAAAGAAGGGAGCTTTCCATGCAGGCCTGAGGGTCTCAGCGCCAGGAGCCAGGGCCCCCCCACATGGAGGCCCCAGGAAGGCGACTTCAAAGGGGAAGGGGGCAAGACCAGCATCCCACACCCCCGGCATCCTGGAAGCACTCGCTGATAGCGCCTCTGGAAAACCCTGGTCACGGCGGCAGCTGAGAACCCACCAGGGCGGAGGGGCTGCCAGGGGCTGCTGGCAGACAAGGCCTGGATGGCAGCCAGCACCCACCAGCGTCTCGGAGCAATGACAGATGCTGCCGTCACCGACGTTATCGCCGGACAGAGAACTTTCCAGAAGCAACATGCCTGGTGTTTGTACAACACTTGGCTTCCGAGCAGCACAGAACCCTGACTCACTAGCCTGGGGGCTGAGCTGTGCCTTGCCCCTGCCCACCGCCCTCCCTCCCCACATAAGACAAAGGTCACAGACCCGATTTAACCCTCAAGGACAAACTCAGGCCGGTGCGAGGGTGCCATGGAGCCTAGGCAAGCCAGATGCAGGTCCCATCTAGACACAGCCCCCACGTGGGCCATGCTCAGGGCCCAGCAATCGGGCAGTGGAGCGCGCGACCCGAATGCAAACCAGCCCTCAGGGTCAGCGTGGGGTCCCACTGCCTCCCACAGCAATGCTGCACAGAACCACCCCTTGCAGGAGCTCACCCACCCACACGTCTGGGGTGATCCCACCACGCTTGCCCACAGGGGAAGGTGAAATGGGCAGGCTGAGATGGAGAGCTTGGGCGGGGGGGTATCCATCGGGATGCTGGATTCAGGGCCCCCAGGGTGACCAACCCTTCCCTCCTGTTGACCCTGCACCCAGGCTGTGTGTGCAGGGCCCGTCCAGCCCTGCTGTGTCGGTCTCCTGTGCCCCATTCACTCAGCGACACCCCTCTGTGCACAGTCCCAGGGGCTGCCCACACAGCGCACACAGAGCAAGGACCCAGCTCTCAGGAGCTTGCCCCAGGCCCCGCAACCCCCCTTACGTTTGCCAACACTGGGCCTGGGGCTGAGGCACCCAGGACATGACCAGGCCAAGTGTGAGCTTGAGCCTGGCATCCACCGTCCCGGGCCAGAGTGTCTCACGGGGCCCTGCAGGCCTTGCCACGAACCTCCAGGCCCCAGGGGGCTTTGGGCCGCTGTGTTAACCCTTTAACTCCAAAGAATGCACCGAGGGCCCCAGTTTTCAAAGGCTTGAAAGCCCAGTCAACTGTCACTTATTTAAATCGATTACCAAGTGACTCAGGCTCACCCCCTGAAGCTCCGACAGTCATCCTCTCTGAACTAGTTCTCTTAGGGGTCTACCCCATGTGCCTGTCCAAAGAATGCACACAGCCCATCCTCTGCTTCGCGCCTCCCTCTCAACGGTGGCCAGTGGAGCTCAGCTGACAGCCACGGCGAACCCCACACGTGAACGCTCTTCTGCTGCCGGATAACCCCGTCCCAGCTGCGGCCATCGCTGAGGGTCGGGCTCTCTGTACCCGCAAAGAATGCTGGGGTGGTGCCCCCACAAATACTGTGTCAAGGGCTACTTTCCTGGATGATATGTGTCCATCTCAGCTGATGGGACACCTGCTGCCACTCCTGCCCGGCCAGGGACCCATCCTCCACTCTCAGGCACCGCTGGGGCTGCTCACCCAGGGAGGAGTCAGAGGCCCCAGAGCCCGCAAGGATCCTTAGAAGGGGGACTGAGAGCCACACCCAGACAGGAGTCATTTCAAAACCAGGAAGTAAGAGGGTTTTTACATTTTTATTTATTTTTTATTTTTTTTTGAGACAGGGCCACTCTGTCACCCAGGCTGGAGTGCAGTGGTGCGATCTTGGCTCACTATAGCTGTGGCCTCCTGGGCTCAAGCAATCCTCCCACCCCAGCCTCCCCACCACCATGCCTGGCTAATTTGTGTATTTTTTGTTGAGATGCAGTCTCACTGTGTGGCCAGGCTGGTCTTGAACTCCTGGCCTCAAGCGGAAGCCGCCCCACCTGCCCCCTACCACACTGTGCTACGTACATCCCAGACCTGTTCCCAACACTTGCTCTACCACAGAATGGTTTTGTCACAAGCACTGGTTTGTGACCGGCTCCTCGGAAGTGAGAAGCCCATTCTCGAAGGAGCTGGTGCACGGCAGCCAAGCTGGCCCCGGCCGAGGGAGCGTGGGACCTGCTGCCTGTGGCTCCCGCATGCCCGTCTGTCCCATTAGCCAGGGCCTTGGAGGTGTCCGTGGTGTCTCTGCGGGTGCCGTGTCTGCCTCTGTCAGGAAGGGCCAGGACGCTGAACAGAAGGACACAGGCTCCAAGTCGCCTCGGCCACCCACCTGCCAGGCAGGCTTGGCAGGGCTGTTGGGGCTTTGAACCCTGCGCAGGTGGCAGGAACAGGGGAGGCCAGAGCATGGGAACTGGAAACAAGAGGAGCCGTGCACAGGGGCCGCCCACACGCCCTGGAGTCAGGAGGCCCCGGAGCCCCTGGTGCCACCCCCACCCCAGGCAGCTGAGGCAGCTCAGGGTGCTGGGCTCAATAAAGGGCTCCGTGAACTGGGAGTGGGGAATGTCCTGCTCCGAACTTCCCAGACGCCCGAGTGGTGGTCACTGCCACGCCCAGCCTGCCCAGCCCCCTGCAGGACATGGGCCAGCAAGGCCCTGCGAGGCACTTGGGAGGGGGGCCATGAGAGCCTAGCTGGGCCTCAGAGGCCTGGGGACACACTGCCCCTTGCTTTCTACACCCTGAAAACAAGGACTGATCAGTCACTGATTCCTAGTCCAACAACCAACCTCCAAATCCCAGGGCTTCCAGCAACAAAGGACCTCCCTTTGCTTCTGGGTCAGTAAGAGGCTCCAGGGCTGGGCCCACTCCACATCTCCTCCCTGCGGAAGGACCCTCTGCTCTCCACCCCCAGAGCAAGGCAGTGGGCGCCTGGGCTGGGAACAGCTGGGTGGGGCGAGGGCAATGGTCAGGGTAGTGGGGGCACATCCCTGGGAGTGCGGACAACAGGCGGGGAGCACGCTGGAGGCCTTGCCAGGGTCATGTACATCCCTGGTGACTGAGGAAGGAGCAGGAGACTGGGAGTGAAATAGACCCCCAGATGGGGAGGGCCCAAGCCAGCCCCTGTGGCAGCCCCTCCAGGCCTCAGTGCTCCTGGGTCCTACCAGGGCCGCAGCGGGAACTGAGGCTGAAACAAATTAGGGTGGCTGGTGGCACAGCTGCGTCACACCCAGGCACAATTCCTTCCCAGCACAGCCAGGAGGCTGTCGGGGACACTGGTGCCTGCTCAGGGTCGGACCTGAGGCCTCCATACCTGCAGTCCCCACAAACCCTGTGCACAGCCCACCCCAACTCTGGCTGGGGCTTGGGGCCCCCAGCAGAGGGACAAGGCTTGTCCTGTGTGGAATGGAGGCCGCTGTCCCAGGGTAGGCCCAGCTCTGGGAACCAGGGAGCAAGTCACGGGAACAGCCCTGGGGTACAGGGGAAGGAGTTCACAGAGCCCTCTACTGAGCCCCACAGCTGACCGGGGGGAAGGGTCCACAGGCTCTGGCCATGGTGCTCTCTGGCTCCTGGGCCCACACGTGTGGCCTGAGAAGTCGTGGCACGCCCGCCGCTCTGGTCAGAGCTGGCCGCCATCTTGCAGCTGCATCTGTCGAGCCAGCGTCTGCCCAATGGCCACCAGGGGGCTGGCTCTGTAGGCCGGACTGGCCAGTAGCTCCTGAAACCGGGTCCTTTCTTCCTCGCTGAAAGAATGGAGACCGCAGATCAGCAGGCAGGAACCCCCAGACTCCTCAGCCCCACCTATGCCCAGGCACGCTGGTGCAGCTGGGACGCTGGAATGAACGCAGAGGCTGGGGGCCACCACAGGGCTGAGTGCTGGGGCCCCAGAAACTTCTGGGCGGGAGGGGAGAGGCTGCCCTGGGCTCCTCGTGGCCACAGCATCCCAGAGCCCTGGCAGCGCCCACTGTGGGGTTTGCCGTTAGGGCATCGCCCGGCCAGCAGGTCTGGGGCTGATGGGGCTGCTGCGAAGGCTGAGAAACGGGCCGGCGGCTCACGAGCCTGCAGACTCACACCTTACATAAGAGACGGCTCCCTCCACGCAACCAAAACAGACGCACACGGAGGAGGGCCGGGAGCCTGAGCCGGGAGAGGCCTGCAGTAGAGGGGAGGCGGCTGCCCCAGATGGGTGCCACGGCGACGACCCAGCAGAGTAGCAGCTCACCCCAGCCCGGTGCCCACTCAGCTCCCGCTCTAAACCCAGAGCAGTGCCCCTGTGGAACGCGAAGGTGATCTGCGGCCCAACTCAGGCACAGAAGCCTCAGGGGCAGCTCCCAGACGGGCTCTGCTGCGGTGGCCAGGGGGCCCTGAGCCTGGTGTGAGGCTGACCTCCTCAGGCCTGTGAGCCGCATGTGCACAAAGCCGTGTTGAGGCTGGACCACACTGGCCATGGTTTCCTGGGCAGATAACAAGGCTCCTTCACATCCCACTGGACGACCACCCGGGTAGGGCCCACACACCAGAGCTGCTGAGGACAGTGGGGCAGGGGCCGTCTCCACAGCAGGAGGCAGCCAGGGCCCTGTTGGTCACTGACCACCACCTCTTCCTTTCACTGACACCCTGGCCACGAAACGGCAGCTGGGGTTCTCCCCGTAAAGCCAGGGTGAAATGCCTCAGTCACAGCCTGGACATCACTAGTGAGCTCTGGGGCTACCAGGACCCGACAAGGCCCCACCTGGGGCAACTGAGGAGCCGAGGCCAGGGGAAGGCTCAGGCCAGGTTCTTAGCACCTCGGCGGAGTCCCAGGTCAGAGCTGGGGAAGGAAAGGAGCCTTGACAGTGACACCTGGAAGTGAAGTTGTAGGGGGAGCCTGTGTGTGAGGGGCTGTGGGGGGAGCCTGTGTGTGAGGGGCTGTGGGGGGAGCCTGT